AACATAATGGAGGGGTTGTTATTTGAGATTTTGTATGCAGATGATTTAGTCTTTATGGCTGATAGCATGGAAGAATTGCAGTTAAAATTTGACAGATGGAAAAGTGTTATTGAAAAGAAAGGGTTAAAAGTTAATATTGGTAAGACGAAGGTAATGGTGAGTGGGGAAGGTGGGGAGCGAGTGATAAGTAAAATAGACCCCTGTGGGGTATGTGACAGGAGAGTGAAGGCTAACTCGGTATTGTGTATAGGATGTCAGAAATGGGTGCATAAGAGATGTAGTGGTGTGAGGGGGTCACTGAAAAAGGTGGAAGGCACGTTCAAATGTAAGAAATGTGTTCATGGTATGATTAATAGGACGGACGCAAGGACGGGGTTGAGTGGTGGTATTGAAAGAGTGGAAAGCTTTGTTTACTTAGGGGATAAGCTGAATGCGGATGGAGGATGTTTGAGCGCAGTTACGGCTAGAGTTCGTGTGGGATGGATGAAATTTAGGGAACTGGGTGGGGTAGGGGTATTGTGTGGAAAGAAATGGTCAGTGAAGATGAAAGGGAGGGTATATAAAGCATGTGTGAGAGCAGCGATGGTATATGGTGGTGAAACTTGGGTGTTGAGGAGAGAGGAGGAAAGTGTACTGCAGAGGGCTGAAAGAGCTATGGTGAGGATGATGTGTGGGGTTAAAGTGAAGGATAGGAGGAGTAGTACAGAGCTTATGTCAATGATGGGACTGAATGAGGACATTGTGACATTGATAAGGAGATCGAGATTGCGGTGGTATGGACATGTGTTGAGAAGGGATGAAAGGGTCGGGATTAGGCGAGCGTTGGAGTTCGAGGTTGAAGGAGTGGTAGGAAGGGGTCGTCCGCGATTGGGATGGAGAGAGCAGGTGGAGAAGGACAGGGTGAAAGCGGGGTTGCGTGATACTGATGCGAGTGACAGATGTGGATGGCGTCGAGGGGTATTTCGGTTTCATCATAGGTAGCCAAACGGCAACCCCCGATCTCGGGGAAAATGCCGTCTAAACGTGTGTTGTTGTTGTTTCAAAAAGAAGCAAAAAAGAAAATATTTTTCAAATAGATGATATCTGCAAAAACAAATATAAAACAAGTTTAACATATTCCATACAAATTCAAATAAAACCAAAAAATGTCACTTGACTTCTGTTTCCTCAAACCACAGAAGCATATTATAAACATTTTAAAATTAATATAATATCCTCTCTAATATATTACTATATAAAATAAAAATAATAAAAAAATCCAACTTTGTGATTGAGTTGGATAGAGATTGATAGAGTTGAAAGCCTTCCTAATTCGATTCAATGGTATGACATTGTTATTGTTTCTGTATTTATTGAATAATTCCCAAGCTTGCCTGGTGACATAATCGGTTAATAATATCATGACAACATAACAAATGTTGAAAAAATGGGTTAATATTAAAAAATTACTGTACCCATAAGAATGAATTAATGTAATTTTCAACACACAAAAGATCAAAACACTAGTTGAATGACAAAAAACTTTTTTGTCATTATTTAATATTGGTCAACTTGATATGAGAAAATAAACAGCTTTTTGAGAGCATTTTGGAAAAAGGCAATAATGAAGAAATAAAAAGAATTAAAAATATATCTTGCATGTAAAAATGATTTCGTTTAGCATACTTATTGTCTCGATAAATGTATTTAAATTTTTAAAATAACTGGTTTTAAAAGCTTATAATTTATAAACGTAAAATTGTGTTTGCATTATAAAATTAATTTAATGGGCAATAGTCTTCTGACTATTAACTTTATATTTTGATTTATATTTTGTTATTCCAATATAATTTTTCATCTAAATTTTTTAAATTTCGATGTGCATTCCCATTTGTACATATTTACTTTTTGGCATCTAACATTACTTTCTTTTTTTCAACAATTTTATCGTATTAATTCCGTGCACATTGTACCAATATTTGTGCATTTGTCAGAGTGAATTTTTGAGGAACAAAAATATGATTTTTTTTTAAATTAAATTTTTTAAAAATTTTTATTTTTATTTTATTATAAAGTAAATACTTAAATTATTACAAAGCACTTAGGTAAAACAATTATAAGGAATTTTCTAAATATGATACATAAACATACACACACATATATATATATATGCTGCAAACCTGTTTTAATAATATACAGTTACAAAATACACCTCAGACAAAGTAAAAAAGACATAATAAGAAAGGTAAGTAATAAAAATATAATAAGTAAAAAAATATATAATAAAATAGTGTAAAGTAAAACATAAAATATAAGACTAGTATAAGACTTATCACTTATATAGTATAAAAGTTGATATGCCCTTGTTCACACTTTTAGCTCCTCCCAGGCTACAAAAAGTGATAAACTTGCCTAAACACAGAAATGTCATATAAATATAAAAATACATAAGTCATAAAGTAAAGATGTAAATCATAATCAATCACAATCGCTTGCTAACCACAAAGCAAAATTTTGCTCTAAATCATCAATTTTAATTTTAGATGTAATTCATATAATAAAATTAAAATGCTATACTATTGTAGCATAGTATACAGAATTAACATCATCCAGTTTTTAATTTTAGATTTAAAACGTAAAAATTGAAAGATAAATGATGGACCTTGTTTTGTAACCATACAAGAGCTTATCATCGGCCTTATCCTGATCAACATCTGACATTTTTTTTTGTGGGACATCCCATCGTATCAGCTTGTAAAAGAATAAAAGCATAAAAAAAGCCAAAATAGTCCCAGGGCGTAGACAGCCAACTTAAACTTAATTATTCTACATATATGCATGCGACCACAAAGTGGCTTGCTTTGAATCGAGGAAATTAAATTCTTGTTTTTAACGTAGGTTACGTCAGACTTGCAAAATATTATGATGATTTACTATCATGAACAACCAAAATTATTTTGTTAATATATAAAAAAGGTGTTTTAATATAATGTTATATATTAACATTGAATTTATGTGTTTGTCGGACAGTGAGTGTTTAGTTGCAACCATATACTTAGAGTACAACGTAAAGTTGTCAGCTATGTCGAACGTACAAAGAAAGAAAATTAAAAAAGTAAAAAATAACAACAACCACGTCATCCATTCTCTACTACCACCACTTAAAACCACAACACACAACCTTCGTCAACGCAAACATAACAATCAAATCGCCACCCAATCTACATATCAGGAAAATACTTTCATCACAAGAAATCTCAGACATATTATTTTTTTTGCAACTTAACGGCGTTTCAGCACGATGCTGCTATTTTAACGCCCTTGGATCATTAGAAACTGATTATTTTGTTGTGACATCTAGAAAACTTCAAATTCTGTTGATCAAATCTATCTCCTCCACAAATGAAATCGAGAGTAGTTCGGCGGCGAATTTTTTGCTTTAATCTTAGGGCTAAAAGTAACAACAAAAACAATAAATCTAACTCTAACAAAAAAATAAATGTAGTTAGTAACAATAATTATATTAATAATAATACTAATAGCAAGTATAATAACTTAATTAAATCTCACTCTAATGTAATTAATACTAACGATAAGAATAATAATTCTATTAGTTTAAATAATATAACTAGATTTAAAAGTACCAATATCCAACCTACCTCTACATTTTCACTATTTAATATTAACATAAGATCAATTAATAAAAAATCGCTCTATATCCATCAAATAATCTCTTCCTCCTTACCTGATTGTTTTACTCTTACTGAAACTTGGCACGAGGACTCTCCCTCTCTTATTTTTGCTACTTCCTGATGGCTACAGCTTCCTTGAACTCTCTAGACCTCCAAAAATCATCTATCATCCTCTCATTCTTTTTATGGGGGTATCTGTCTATTTTATAAATCTCTATTTACTGCTTCCATTAATACTTGCGTTAATTTTTCTTTTTTTTGAATGTCTTGTTGTATCTCTTAAGTCTTCTTCTCTATCTTTTTATATTGTTGCAATCTATCGCCCTCCTTCTTCTTTTCTCACTTTATTTTTAGATGAATTCTACTCATTCGCTGAATCTCTCTACTCTTTTTCTATTCCTTTCTACATCTCTGGTGACTTCAACTTGCACTTAATTTATCATGTTCTTACACTCGTAGATTTAATGATATTTTGTCTCTTTTTAACTTAACAATATTGTTCTTTTCCTACCGATACTTCTGGTAACACTATTGATTTTATTATAGCTTCATCTTTTTCTAAGCCTATTAATATCTTTGCTAACTCTGTTTCTTATTCGGATCACCTCCTTATTGAATCTGTTTTTTCATTAGATTTTATTTCTTCAAATTCATCTATGTCTATTTCTAAAAGATGCTAGTCTTCTCTTAATAAAGATATTTTTCTTCAATCTCTTACTGAAACTATTTTTGATACTACCTTATTTTCTGATGTTGATGATTTTGTTTATGCTTTTAATATCTACATTACTTCTATTCTTGACAAGCTTATTCCTATTAAATCTTTTACTTATAGGCTCTATTCTCGTATGGCTTCTTGGTTTTATTATGCTTGTGTAGTAGCCAAGAAAAGTGTTAGAAGACAGGAGAAAGCCTATAGGTTAAATCCATCTAATTCTCATTATTCTATCTATGAATCTGAATTGATTAATTATAAATATCTACTGTTCTCTAAACACTCTACTTTTTTTAGAAATTCTATAACATCTGCCTCAACATCTAAAAATAGGTAGTCTGCTTTATCTAAACTTCTTCATAACAAATCCTCTCACTCATCTTTTTCTGCTCAACAGTTTCATGACTTTTTTGTAAATAAAATTACTTCTTTAAGAACATCTAATTCTAATTTTTTTTATTATAACTTTACTAGGTAACCAGAAAAAAAGCATTCAGGAAAAAATGTCTTCAGAAAAAATATCTTCAGTAAAAATATCTTCATTCAAAAAGGTCTTCCAGAAAAAATGCCTTCAAGAAAAAAAGTCTTCAAGAAAATAAGTCTTCCAGAAAAAACGTCTTCAGGAAAAAAAGTCTTCCAGAAAAAAATCCAACGATACTACTTTATTTTTAAAATATTCATACATACAAAAATGAAATTACATTTTTACATAAAAAATTTGTTACAATAAAAATTAATAAAAATCATAATAACTTTAATATGTTCTTTGTGTATTAATATTATCTGAGAGGTTTATTGGAATGGATTATAGGGTTGTTAAAGTGTTACAGCATGTGCCAAAAACGATTCTAGGACAATTACCCCCCGGACAAATAACGCCCGGACAAATACCCCCCCCCCACGCAAATAACCGCCCGGACAAATACTCCCAAAACAAAATACCCCCAGAACAATTACTCCCCGGACAATTTTTGTTTTCAAATTATGATTTATATTATTATTATTAATATTAACAGACAATACGAGACGAGATAGAATGCAATTACTTATTAATTTATAATTATTGTAATGATCATCAGATACACTTTTAAATACAGACCGCCAAAAAACACAAATCGTTGATGATAAAGAATTAAACATTATGCAAAAGACCATAAACATATAATTAAGTAAATTGGTTCTCAAGCTTTCTAGCGCAAATTGGCATGTAAATTTAGAACAATCAATGATGATTGATGATGAGAAAGCAATTCGCATGCATTTAATCTATAGTGTAATTTAAATTTAAAAAAAAAATAAAATTTTATTTCAAGGTTTCTTTGTGTATTAATATCATATAAAAAGTTTATTGGCATGGACTTTAAAGTTGTAAAAATTTTAATCGTTATTTTATTCTGTTACTATGGAAATTATTGAAAATAATAAAGGAGGTCAGAAGTTGTGTTTGGAAGGGTATATGTATACAAAAAAATTGAGTAGAGGAGCAACGATTCGTTGGCAATGCTCTAGAAAAACATTTTTCAACTGTTTAGGAGCAATTTCAACAAACATTGAGGTAAATAATCAATATATCTTTTTATTTGTTAATCTGATATATAAATATAAATTCATTTCAATATATATATATTGTCTTTACTAAATTATATAATTAGATTACTGAAATAAAGTGTCAGAAAGAACACAACCATGTTTCAGAACCCGAAGAAATGCAAAAGCGAAGGTTTTGAATGAAATGAAAAAGACTGCTATACTATCTTCTACGGCCAAACCGAGCCAAATATATGC